CCCCCCCCCCCAATTCTCTGCACTTGTACAGAGTAGGTCCTGCACCTGTCACTGGGGGACAGTCTTTGGAGGTCTCTGCCAAAGAGGGCAGAGGGTCCGTGTACACAGTGCAGTGATGTCCGCGCAGTTGTGAGGGTGTATGCTGTTCACTGGTTCCACAAGAGAAGGAACCAGTCTGCTTTTGGGACATTCTGGCACTGGGGTGGAAAAGGGGACATTTGAGTCACGGAGGATGGGTCCACAGCATGGAGGTAAGGAAAGGGTATTCCAGGCTTAGGGAATAGCATCTGCATCTGGTTCAGATGTGCCAGGGGCTTGCAGGGTTCTCCCAGCACTGTGTGGTGGAGGGAAGTGGGAGAAACCCCAGCTGTCCAGAAGGTTAGGAGGTGGCCTAGAGCAGCCAGGCCAGATAATCTTGATTCTCTCTGATGGGCAGTGGGGGGAAACAGGCCATTAGGGCTGATGTTCTGCTTCGCAGGAGATCTTGTTGTAGTTCAAGTTAGAGCAAATAAGATCCCAGTTCTGCCACTTGGTCTCTCCTCACCTGTAAAATGGGGACAATAAATCCTGTCCCAGGGGCTTGTCAAAGTCACTATGTGGTGGGAGTGATGGGATGGGACTGAGATGTACTTAGAAAGACTGTCATAGGAGATGAGGTGACCATGGTGGGGTTGAGGGGGATACTAATAGAGACCACTGAGAGGTAGAGGAGTAGCATTTGTCAGAGATGTGACATGAAGGGAGAGGGAGGGGTGGGGGTAGTTCTGGTCTCTGGTCAGTGGCCTGGGGAAAGGGCTGACACTTCAGTATGGCTAGGAGGGTGAAATGGCCAGGGAGGCATAGCTTGACACCAGGTGGTAGTGAGAGAGACCTGGGAGGCAGGATGGGGGCTAGGACCAAAGGCGCTCGCCCAGACCTGGAGCCAGGTAGGGAGGTAGCAGAGTGACCCCAAAAGGAGGATGAGACCCAGGAGGGTGCTGTGTGAACAAAGCCAAGGCTGGTGTAGGTGGGCTGAAGGAGGGAGTGGTTCAGAGCCTGACCTATTTTGCCCCTTAATGCCAGGGGCTTTGCTACCTGGGTTAGGCCACTCCAAAAGTGATGGACCTTTATCCTTGGTCGTTAATAAATGGACACAGCAGATTAACTTCTGCCTAAGACCTGCTGCTTGCGAGAGACAGTCTCTCAAAATGGGAGGATCCATGGAGGAAAACAGAAAAGTTCAGCAAGCATTTGTTGGTGGCTTTTATGAGTTGGGTCTGTGGTACCTAAAGATGAAGCATTCCCAGGGAAGATTCCCAGGGAATCAGGGAGACGTTGGGTCTCAGGTAATGTCAGGAGGTCTTGGTCAGAGCTAGGTCTCAAGAGGATTCAGGCATCCCTGCTCAGGTATTAGGGAGCCAGGAAGCGCCATCAGACCAATGTCAGGGTTACAACATGGTGGTATTGGTGAGGGACTGCAGGGGTGGAGCCTCCCCCAGAAAGATGGGCCTCAGGATCAGGATAAGGAGCCTAGACTTCCTTCAGTTGGTGAGGGAAGGCTCTCAGCACTTGTGCTCTGGGTGCAGAGGGGATTCAGCACTCAGCAGAGTCTAAGCTGTACATGAAAGGCTAGACTAAGTAAGAGGTTAGGATGACAGAGAAATACTCAGCAGATAGACTGAAAAGGACCTGACTGCAAACTGGGTGTTGAGTATCCAGGTCAATTGTAGGTCTTTCTGCTTGTTAAGGTGGGGAAGCAGGCTGGGAAAAAGAATTTAGTTTGGATAAACGGTCTGAATCAAATGCAGGATCTGCAGGCAGCGGAGACACAGGAGGGACGTCCTGACTGGGGAGAGTGGTCGAGAGTAAATAAGAGCCCAGGGATAGCATAGAGGAGAGGGGAGCCACAGCTGACGTTTAGGAACCCAAGGAGAAGCCTGAGGAGGAGAGGGGACAGAAGCAGCCTGAAAGGCAGGAGGTACAAGTCCTGTGCTGAGGAGCTGTCCGGCTGCCCGGGTCAAGGTGAACTTAAATCCCAGCCAAGAGTGTTCACGGAGACCCTGGGAGAGAGGTCAAGGGTGGGGGAGTCCTTGCCCTATTACCTCTCTCCCCTCCCCCATGCAGCCCCCACCATGGGCAATGCGCAGGAGCGGCCCTCAGAGACGATCGATCGCGAGCGGAAACGCCTAGTGGAGACGCTGCAGGACGACTCCGGGCTGCTGCTGGATGCACTGCTGGCGCGCGGCGTGCTCACCGGGCCTGAGTATGAGGCGTTGGACGCGCTGCCTGATGCCGAGCGCAGGGTGCGTCGCCTGCTGCTGCTGATACAAAGCAAGGGCGAGGCCGCCTGCCAGGAGCTGCTGCACTGCGCCCAGCGTACTACGCGCGCGCCAGACCCGGCCTGGGACTGGCAGCACGTGGGCACTGGTGAGCGCGAGAGGGGCGGGGCCTGGGCCAGAGCACGGGGCTTGGTGGGAAGGGTAGAGTGTGGAGCTGAGTTGTAGGTGGCCGTGTGCCAAGGATACCGCTGAGGCCTTAAAATGAGATACTTAGATACTCCCACCTCCAATCCAGGCTACCGGGAACGCAGCTACGACTCTCCATGCCCTGGCCACTGGACGCCTGAGGCACCTGACTTGAGGACCGCTTGCCCCGAACCGCCCAGAGCTTCAGACTGTGACGAGGCTGGGGTTTCAGGGGGCTCGGAGGCAGTATCCGGAACCCTCAAGGAACTCGATCCGGAAGTGGAAGCTGAAGTCTCTGAAGGGGCTGAGCCAGAGTTGGAACCCCAAATGGATCCGGAACCAGAGCCAGCACCTGAACTGGAGCCAGAGCCAGAGCCAGAGCCAGAGCCAGAGCCCGACTTTGAGGCGGGTGACGAGTCTGAAGGTGTGAGGCTACCCAAACCTGGTGTCGGATTGGCGGGAG